TGTGTGATTCAACCTGCAATCTCCTGGTCACCTGTTCACTCTTGCTATCACTTCCCTAGTACAACAGGTGAACCCAGGACTTTGCACGCAGTAGGTGCGTGCTCCATCATTAAACTAGGCTCCCACCCCTTGGTGTGCAACCTTAGCACAGATCTCCACAGAAGTGTCACTTTTAAGAAGAACCGACAATAGAGCTGAAACCTGGACCATAAAGATGTGCTTGAACAAGGCTCAGGGAAGGCTACCTCCCAAAGATGTGCTTGAACAAGGCTCAGGGAAGGCTACCTCCCAAAGATGTGCTTGAACAAGGCTCAGGGAAGGCTACCTCCCAAAGATGTGCTTGAACAAGGCTCAGGGAAGGCTACCTCCCAAAGATGTGCTTGAACAAGGCTCAGGGAAGGCTACCTCCCGAAGATGTGCTTGAACAAGACCCACATGGTGACTAAACTATGGGTAGCTCCAGTTCCAGGGATCTGATGCCCTCCTCTGGCCTCTGTGGGCATTGCATGACTCAGGTGTACTTAGGTACATGCAGTCAAAACACTTGTCCACATAAATAAAATTTGGAGGCGAAAAAAAAATAAGAACTTAATGTTCCCATTAAGGGAACTCAGGGAAAGTCTGCGGACCTGGGATCAATTTTGACCTAAGCTGTTCATCTAGGACAATGAGTCTCAAAAGATGCTCTCACAAGTCAACCTATCCACACTCACCAATAAACACCCAGCAAAGTAACCCCCATGCAACAACTGCTCTTACAGAGGGTGTCAACTCACTCCCACCTCAGCGGCCCAGGCTCTGGACTCCACACTCCCCACCGGCACCTTTGGGACAAACATTGTGCCTCGCTCAGGTGCTGGGCCTGGTTGGCAGCCTTCTCCCTCTCCCCAGGAGACACTTGCTGCTCTTTCTCCTGTTGCTTCAGACCTTCAGCAGTGACTCCCTCATCCTTTGAAAGTGTGGCTGGCGATCAGAGACTCAAGAAAGCTGCATCGAAATTAATATGTGAAAGAAGTCCTACCCAGGTTTCATACAACTAATGGAGCATGCTCAAAAAAAGTGGTTGGCAGGTACTACATTAACAACTGTGAAGGGTTCTGCAGTCTGGGCTTTCTGGACTTTCCCCTTGTCTACTTGCCTACACTCATTCTCAGGAGTATGTTCCATCTCTTAATAAACTGTATTTCTAAGCACATGACCCCGATCCAGCTCTTTGCCTGGGATAGAAGAGCCTGGATGCTTCGGCAGATGCCCAGGACTCAGATTGACACCTGTTACATCAGGGGTAAGGCTCTCCTGTCTCCATTTTACATCTTATTTTTGGGCATGGTTTAGGGTTTCAGTATAAATATAAATAAAATGCAGCAGCTAAGCTGGGCAGAAGTGGTGTGTTTTCCCCGGGTGGCACAGCTTGCTGGTGACAGCTTGCATTTAGAAACTTGGACACCCACCATCATGGAGCATCAGAAAGATGGGTTTGTATTAACTCTTCAACATACCATAAAGACAGAGATAGCTCCATGTTGTATACAGAGTTACAGAGTCAAGGCATCGTTTTTGAAAGTGATCTGACAGAGAAAGGAGGCTCTGTGTGTGTGTGTGTGTGTATGTGTGTGTTGTATACATTTGTATGTATGCGTGTGTTCATCATGCATGGGTTTGTGTGGGGGCGTGCACATGTGTGCAGAGATGTCATAATGCTTTGCTTCAGCTCTCCTTGAAGCAGAAAGACAATAGCACCCCTCATCCACGAAGCCCTCAGCCGCAGAACTGGAATTGATCCTCCTTCTCACGGTGCACGGTGTGGGTTATAAGCCATGCTTGCCTTTGTACTAGTCACTGTTCTGTTGCTGTGATGGAAACACTGACCCAAGCAATTTATAGAAGGAAGAGCTTATATGAGCTTATGGTTCCAGGGGAATTACAGTCCGTCATGGCAGGGAGGCCTGGTGGCTGGAGGTGGCTAGAGCAGGAGCAGCAGAAGCTAAGCTCTCACATCATCACACAGGTACAGGAAGCAAGAGAGCGACCAGAGATCTGGCAAGGCTTAAGAACTCTGTAAGCCCACCCCCAGTGACGTGCATCTTCCAGGATAGCCACACCTTCTAAAACCTCCCAGAACAGCGCCATCATCTGGGGATAAAATGTCCAAATACTTGGAGCCTATGGGGGACATTTTCATTCAAACCACCACAGCCTTGATGGGTGTCCTGGCAGCAGAGCACTTGTGTGGGGACCTTGAAAGTAGCTAGTTTTCTCTCTAGTCGGGGCTGGGGTGCGTTACTAAGGAAACTGAGATTCCCTTTTTGGATCCTTAGTCTCATTATGCGCCAAGAAAAGACTTTAGAAACAGATTGGACAGGAAGCCTGAGGACAATTTTATTAGAGTTTAAGAGAAAAACAACAGGGCAGACAAGCTGTGAAGTGGCAGCGGCTGGGAGAAGAGACAAGGAAGTGAGAAAGACTTGCCAGTTGTTATGGAGGTCAGCAATCAGCCACAGAGCAGAAGGGGGAGGTCAAAGAGAGAGCAAGAAAGCCCAAAGTGCCGGGGAAAGCAGCCCAACACCCGAAAGAGAAAAAGAAAAAAAGAAAAAGTCGCTTGTGGCCCAGATTCTGCAAGCAGCTTCATTGGGAAGAGAAAATACGTCATCTCAAGTGGATAATCCACTGCTCCCGTCTCCTTTTTCATAGCTTGGAATGCCAGGTCTCCACCCAGGCCTAGAGGAGGACCATACACCAACCTCTATCATTCTGGGTGGTAGTTTAAATTCCTAAGGTTGCCAAAGCTGATGTTTACAGTTCTGCTGTTACCAGTAGAGTAACAAAAAGCCCCATAAGTCAAGACTATCAAATCTCTAGTCTATCTGTTCAAAGACCCTCCTTTCCAGTTTCACTGGTCAATCACCTGGTCATAGGACCACCCCTAGGAAGACGGGTTCACCTTAAGTCATGCTAAATACATGGGTGGAATACCTAGTTTGTTAATGAGATAGTGAACTTTTCCTGCCTGGAAACCCACCTCCTAGTGCAATGATTCTGAGCCCAGCCACAGACCTGTAGATCTCCGTAAGCCTGCCCACTTTTCCAAATTCTTTGTAAAAGCATAATCTTTTCCTTTTCTAAACATGCTTTCTTTAATGCTTTGGGCTTCCCCTAGCATCTAGTATTTCTTTACTTTTTCTCTAAAACTTTCCTCTCCCACCATGTGGCTGTGAGTTGGTCATGTGTCTGACTTCCACACAGGCTCTAAACCTGCATGGTTTCTCTCTCCATCCTCCTTCTCAAGGCAGCTGCTGAGAGTCACAGCTTGTTTACCCTGAGAATATTTCTTTAAAGTTCTAACAAAGTTGTTCTAAAGCTTCTGTTTGGGTCCGTTCTTAAATTCTTTTATGAATGAGACTGAGAACCTTCTAGGGGATGCTGTTTCTCCCCTGCATCACCAGGGAAATGGGAAGTGCGGTCCAAAGGTTCAGCGGCCTAAGGTTGCTGTAGTGGGGGCACTCACATCGGAACCGAGCTCAGCTCTTTGTTGGAGGCTCTGATTCTCTTTGTCATCACCTTCTCCCTGTTCAGTTTAGAATCTAATGGACTTTCCAAATTTCAGTTCTGTGAACTCTGGGTTGGGCAGTTCTTTGCTGTGAAGTCATCCTGTGCACATCAGCAGGATTCCTGGTACCTACACTATAGTCATCAGCACACAACCCTCAAGTCTTGACTAGTAGAAATTATCAGGGAGTCCACACATCCTCCAAACATTCCCCCAGGGTGCAGCATCACCCTTGGCTGAGGACCACTGTTCCAGTGAGCGGACCTGCAGCCCGTGACACCCTTTTCTTTCTTTACTCTAAGATGATGCCCTCCCTTTCCTCCCCTACTTACACTTAGGATCCCTCTAAGTTTGAATGACTGGATCTGGTCAGAAATGTCTGTGGAAATGCAGCCATCCCACAAGGGTGGCAAGCATGTGTCTTTCCTCCCCTGGACCAAGCTCTTCACAGTAAACACCATTATCCTTTACCCATTATCCTTTACCCTTTTCAGCCATTTAAAGTACTTTGCTGTCCCAGAGCACAGTAACAGAAAATGGGAACTACACCCAGGTCTGATTTTACCTTAACACTGGAGTAAGACTAGAGACTCATGCTTGCCAACAGGTGGGGTAGGTGTGGAGCCCATTTTCATGTTGATTCAGAAACTTGAATCAGAGTGAGGTCCTTAAGAGTTAACAAAAGGCGGGAAAGTATGCATGGGAGGGATAAAAGTTGTCTACTTTAAGTGCCAGTTGTAGGGAACTAGGGAGTTGTCTGACCTGTAGTGTCACTCAAATGGAAGGCAGGAAGGCAGACAAGCAGTCCTTAGTCACACATCTGGCCTGATGAGGAACAGACCCAGAAAGCGCTCCCAGAGACAGGAGAGGCAGATAACAAACGTAAGCACGGGGACCATAGGAAAGTCAGCGAGTTTCTGATCTCACAGGGGTGGGGGACCAGAAGCATGACAATAACCTAGGAGACACCATAATCTGCAAAAGTGACCTGGGACTCAACACAGCCGCTGTGCTGGCTTCGTGCCAATGGTCCTGTCAATCATTTTACCTTCTCTCCCCGACACTCCCTACCAGTGCAGAAAGTGTCCCGCAGACACCAACGTCTCCAGATGTTCTAAGGGATGTTTTCCACCGGCGGTCTTTAGTGCCAGTAGACCCGGCAGAACACAGAGCTCAAACCACCCTGGGCGGGAGTAGCTCTGTGAAAAGGAACCCAGTGCACCGAGAGTCTGTGACATCCTGTCTCTGTCTGTCTGTCTGTCTGTCTCTCTCTCTCTCTTCCTTCATCCCTCCGTCCCTGCATCCCTCCCTCCGTCCCTCCCCTCCCCTCCCCTCCCCTCCCCTCCCCCAAACCGGAGAGGTCCACTTTCTACAAACGTCAGGGGAGGTGTCCTGGGGATAAAACCTTCGCAGATGCAGGACAACTATTTTTAGCGATCGCTGTAGCACCCACCTCCACAGCTTCGGGCACGGGCACGGGCACCGGGGAGACGCTGTTGGGCTTCCCGGAGCCCACGCGGAACTTGGCGGTCTTGTAGATCTTCCAGTACACGAAGAGCACCACGCAGAGCGGCAGGTAGAAGGCGCCCACGGTAGAGAACACGGTGTAGGAGGGCTCGCGGCTGACCTGGCACTCCTCACTGCGCTCAGAGTAAGTCTCCCCCCAGCCGAAGAGCAGGGGGGCCAGAGAGATGACGGCGGAGAGCGCCCAGGTGAGCGCGATCATCACGTTGGAGACGCGCTTGCGCGCGCGGAGCGTGTACTGCAGGTGGCGCGTGATGGACCAGTAGCGGTCCAGGGCTATGGCCGTCACGTTCCAGATGCTGGCTGTGCAGCAGAGGACGTCACACGCGATCCACAGCTGGCACAGCCGCTGGCCCAGCTGCCAGCGGCGCCCGGACAGCTCGTGCACCAGGCTGAGTGGCATGACCAGCACAGCCACCAGCACATCCGAGATGGCCATCGATGCCACCAGGTTGTGCGGCACGCGGTGGAAGGTGCGTACCCTGAGGATGGTGGCCAGCACCAGCAAGTTCCAGGCAAATGTGGCCGCCGCCAGAAAACCCAGCAAGGTCAAAACCAGCACGCGGAAAACAGAGAGAAAAGGAGGGCTGGGGCTCAGGTCTTCCGCGCCCAAGCTGCGGTTGGGCTCCAAAGAGGAGGGCGTGGAGAAGGGAAAGGAGGTCAGGTTCACCGGGAGATCCATCACTGGCTCAGGACACCTGCCCTGGGTGGTTGTGGAAAGGCGTCCAGACTCAAGTGGCCACGGAGCCAATCTGGATGTTTGCGTCTGGCCAATTAAGAGGTTTCTGGAAAGCGCCCCTGAACCTGGCCGCAGCCTCCTGCCAGGTGAGCGGAGTCTGGAGGAGGTGCTTTGGCAGCGAGGGGAGCTCTGGGCTGCAAGCCGCGCACCCCGTGGTCCTCAGAGGCTCGGGAAGCAGGCGTAAGTCTGAGTCGAAGCCAGGGCCCACCTGAGCTGTCGCATGCCCCGGGCTCCTCACCTCGGCGGGGATCGCTGTCCGGACCCCCCGCAACCGAGCATCTTCCGGGTGGGCCCCGCGCGGGGTGGGTGCCTGGAGCGGGGCTGGTGCGTCAGAGCGGCCGCGGGTCCCGGTGGCTCCCCGCCTGCCCCGCCCTTCCCAGGCAGTTGGCTCTGGCCGCAGCTCGGTGCTGGGGAAGCCGCACACCTGCTGTCCAGGCACTACCCTCTGCCCTCCGTGTGGTCTCCCCACAGCGTCTGGGGCTGCTGCTCCCCGGAGCGCAGGCTGGCGCCCCCACCCAGACCTGCCTCACCGAAGTGGGGATCCAGCTACGTAAGCCATCAGCTGATAGGGCCGCCTCTCCGGTGCGGCTCCAGCGCGCTCCCCGCGGCGCCTGGCTCTGTCCGCGGTGCTGCCGCCTCCCCCGCCCGGTGCGCCGCTTGGTGCTGTCCGCGGTCCTGTTGCTCCTGCAATGGGTCCCTGGCTGGAAACGAGTTGCCCAGTGAACCTTCCCGCACGCTTCCTCCATTCCTCCACCATCCGCGACCCCTCTGGAGGTGATCTGAGACCCAGATCCAGATCTCCGCTTCCTATGAGTGCTGTTCACCAAGTACAGGTGTCCTGAGTTGGGGGCCTAAGAGTCTAGATGGCAGCTGTTCCCCTCTAGGCTGCAGTCTGGCTACCTCCTTCCTATGCAGCGCTCAGTGACCTCGCTGAGTCGTTTCCTGAGGAGGAAAGGCAGACCCAGTTTTTGCTGATCTCAGACAAGGCTGAGGTGTGGCGCTGGAATGCCTGTTTCCTGAGACCCAGAAAGGGGCTCACGCTGTCTCTCCAGTGTTTCTACTGAGCCTGCCGCTGGGAAGGAGTCTGGAGGCAAGTTCTTATTTTTAAAAGCAGTTGAAAAGCAGGAGCATTGAACTTTCCACCCCGGTGTAAACAAGTTAACACACACACACACTCACACACACACACTCACACGGGGGAGGGGAGGAGAGACAGACAGAGAGACAGAGACAGAGAGAGACAGAGAGACAGAGAGGAACAGAAAATCTCAAAGGATCCTACCCAGAAATTTTGTTTTGTTTTGTTTTTATTTTCAGTGCCGGGGACAGAACCCAGGACCTCGTGTTGCTAGGCAAAGTGCTCTGCCATTGATCTCCATTACAGCCCAGGCTCCCGAAGTTGTGATTTAAAGATGCCACCTCCCCCTCCACCCCCAAGAGACGTGATACAGCAAGATCTTTTTTTTTTTTTTTTCGGTCTTTTTGAGACAGGGTCTCCCTGTAGCCCCAGCTGTCCTGGAACTCACTATGTAGACCAGGCTGGCCTTGAACTCACAGAGATCCTCCTGCTTCTACCTCCCAAGTGCTGGGACTGCAAGAGTGTGCCACCACGCCCGGCAGCAAGATCTTTCTTTAAAAGCTGCAATAAGAAAATGTAGATGACAGAAAGGAGAACAGGTGGACTAAGCACTTTCTAATGAGGTTTTCTTGAAACTTTGTACGTGTACAAGTAAGTTTGGTCAGAAACTTTTTAACAATTTGCAAATGAGAATTCTGGTTTTTAATTTTTTTTACAACAGCTTGTTTCAAACAAAGTTGAAATGGGTCCAGAAAATGCACTGAAGGGAATGCATGCTCTGGAAAAGCAAAGACGGATGTGTCCTAGTTTGCTTTCTATTGCTCTGATAAAACACTCTGGCCAAAAACAGGTACAGAAAAGGGCCTATTGTGTTGTACACTTCCAAGTGACAGATGGACTTCTCAGAACGAGGCTTCGAGGGAAGTGCGGGGGGGGGGACACAGGGCAGGGATCTGGAGGCAGGAGCTGAAGAACAGACCATGGAGGAACGCTGCTTACTGGCTTGCTCCTCTGGCCTGTGCTCAACTTGCTTTCTTATATAATATAGGACCACTTGCCCAGGGGTGGCACCACCTACAGTGGGCTGGGCCCTCCCACATCACTCAACAATCAAGAAAATGCCCCTCAGACATGGCCACAAGTCAATCCAATGGAGGAAATTCCCAGTTAAGAACCCCCCCTTCCCAGGGGTGTCAAGTTGACAACTGAAGTCATGGCAAAAGGTCAGAAAGCAGATATTTAGCCTAATAATGAAGCCACAATTTCCTGCCCAGTAATCATACTTGAGCCACTTCTCAAAGGTCTGATTCCTAAGGAACAAGTCAACAACACAAGTACGTGTTTAGAGAAACAGTCTTTGTTCTTCTCAAAGAAACTACAGCACATGCACCAGTTCCTAACTGCACCTGGAAAGGAAAATATCCCAACCACCTGAGAGGCGCTGGAGGTGGACTCTGAACAAATAGACACTTGGGAGCCTCCCATCAGAGATGCGGCCATGAGGTGGGCTCCCAGGAGAACCTGCTCACCATCTCTGCCACACAGCCCAAGTGTGGTTTGAATGAGAATGTGCCCCATAGGTCCAAGTATTTGAATGCTTGGCTCCAGTAGATGGCACTGTTTGGAGAGGGTTAGGAAGTGTGGTCACGCAGGTGTGGTCGCTGGGCTTTGAGAGTTAACAGCTGTGTCCTATTTCCAGTGCCTGCTTAAAGGTGAGAGTGCCCAGCTTTCTGCCCTGGCCCCCTCTGCCACCATGGCTCCCCCACCATGACGGACTCAACTCCCTGGAACAGTAAGACCAGTAAACTCTTCCTTCCATAAGCTGCCTTGGTCATGTTTTGTCGCTGCTGTTGTTTTAGTCACAGTGATGGAGAAGTAATACACTAACGCAGGGACTAAACGTCCTTGATGATTGAAAGGATGTTATGTTATTAAAAGGTCCTGGGTTGGGGGTATAGCTCACATGTGTGAGGCCCTATGTTCAATGTCCAGTAACACAATTTTCTCCTTTTTTATATCTTATTTTTATTTTTGATGTGTATCAGTGTATTTCCTGCATATGTGTAAGTACACTGGTGTCATGCAATGCCCTCGGAGGTCGGAAGATGATGTCAAATCCCTTGGAAATGGAGTTACAGTTAGCTGCCATGTGGGTGCTGGGAATCAAACCTGGGTCCTTAGCAAAAGGAGTTAATTCTCTTAACTGCTGAGCCACCTCTCCAGTACCCCAGTAATGCAATTTTCAATTTTTAAAAAAGATTTTACTTATTTTAGGTGTATGAGCGCTTTGCCTGTGTTAAGAAACATTGTATAATGACCACACTTTTCTTTTATCTGCTCGCGCACAATCTAATCAACAGTTGATGAACAAAGTCATTTCTTGGCTATAGTAAATAATGCTGCAATAAACATAAGTGCAAATGTCAAAACTTATATTTGATTCTAAATGAATATCACGTATTGCCTTTATGAGTTATGTAAAATTGTCTATATTGGGCTATTCTTTTAAAATGAACATTATCATTAATGTCATTAGGAATAAAAGATTTCCAGTCTAAAGGAAAAGAAACATTAAGTATTACTCTTTTCTCTCAAGCCCTGTAAAACTTGGAACTTGGTTTATGATAAGGCATTTTATTCTTTTAATCCCACCGTACCCTGTAAGACTTTTGTTTACGGAAAGGCCCCGACACATTCCTGAACCTGATGGCCTGAGGTAGTGGAGCTCTTCTCTCTTCATAACAATTATTTTAAAGTGGTCAACCAGGAAACACTGTGCAGTCAGACCCCAGCCAATGGAGGAAAGACACAGTTTTCTTGCCTTAGGGACAAAAAGCCCCCAAGCTTCTGGGTCCTGTGTATACTTGCTGCATCTGACTATCTAAGCAAGGCACCCTTTTGCAAAAGTAAAATCTGCCTTGCCAAGTTACTTTTTATCTGTCTTCGTGTTCTTTGTGCAGGGTGGATGGTGTCCTCAGACCCTGGATTGTATTTCTAACATTTGCTTGTGTAAGTGCAACTCCTGTGTGCCTGGTGCCCATGGAGGCCAGAGGAAGGTGTCAGATTCCCCTGGTACTGGAGTTAAGGAGGCAGGTCAGCCACCATGTGGGTGCTGGGAATTGAACATGGGTCCTCTGGAAGTAAGTCCTACAGTGTAAGAGAACAAACAGGAATCCCCAAATTGCTATGAGGTTTTCAAAGTTAAATTATCATCTTGGGAGGCCTCTAATGGGGGCAAATGTCTTTCCTTCCCAGAGCAGGTGAGAAACTCAGCTTTGGTCTTATTTTGCTATTTTTGATTGACAGTCCTACTTTACCTGATCAGGGCAGTGCAAGGAGAGGATGGGGGTGACTAGGAGCCTTTCTCAGTGCTGATTTTGGCGGGGGGGGAATGAGTGAGGAGGAGAGAGAGGAAAGGTCTCATTGTAGCTAACCTGGAGACAGTCATCCTGTCTCAGCCACCCCAGTGCTAGATTGTGAGCGCCCCACACATGACTTCAGGGATGATTCTTTTTCAGACAATCTTCTAAAAGAAGATTTTTTGGACAGATTTTTAAAAATTACTTTTGATTTATTTATTTTTATTTTACATGTATGAGTGCTTTGTCTGCATGTATATAAGTGTACCACATACATGCAGTGCCTGAAGAGTGTGTTGGATCCCGTGGAACTGAAGTAACAGGTGGTTGGTAGCCATCATGTGGATGCTGGGAACCAAACCCAGGTCCTCTGCAAGAGCAGCCAAGGCTCTCTTCATTGCTAAGCCATCTCTCCAGCCCCGGAAGATTTATTTTTAACTATGTCTGTGCATGTGTATTCGTGTGTGGATATGTGAGTACAGGTGACAGGGCAGGCCAGAGACATCAGATCCACATGGAGATAAAGATACAGGCAGTTGTGAGCACTTGAAAAACTGGGGTCCTCTGCAAGAGAACGGCTCTTAGCCGATGAGACAACTGTCCATCCCCATCCCCACCCTTCCTTGCTGATTCTTTTCATAGGTCAATCAACTACCTATGTGGTTTACTAGGTGTCATAGTTAGCTTCCATGGTCAATTTGATACAAACCTAGAGTCACCTGGGAAGTGGAACCTGCAACTGAAGAATTTCCTCCATCAGACTGGCCTGTGGCATGTCTGTGAGGCACTTTTTTAACTGCTAACTGATGTAGGAAGACCCAGCCCACCTTGAGAGGCCCATCCCTGACAGGTGGGCCTGGGCTGTATAACGAAGATAGCTAAGGAAGCTGGGGTTGGGGATAAGCCGGTAAGCAGCTTTCCTCCCTGGGTTCTGCTTCAAGCTCCTGTGCTGAGCTCCTGCCTTGGCCTCCCCTGACGATGGACTGTGACCTGTAAAATGAAACTCTGAAACTCTCTTCTCCCCAAGTCACTTTTGGTCATGGTGTTTATCACAGTAACAGAGAGCTAACTAGGACACCAGTTACG